AGTCGGCCCTCACTGCGTCGCTTCCTACTCCTGTCACTGACTACTACCGCACGTACCGTCCTGTTCTCTCTCGTGTTCTCGCCTCTCTTGTTACCCACCCTCGTGCCTCTGTGTCCTCTGTGTCCGCTCTTACTGCCGCAGTCACTGAGTTTGCCTCTACCCGCCGCCTTGACTTCGCCACCGCTCTTGTGGCTGCTCCTCCTTCCAGTCCTCTGGCCGTCGGGGGTGTGTCTGCCCTTGGCTGTGACGCCCTAGAGGACAGGCAGTTCGAGCTAGAGTTCCTGGCCGCCGCTTCCCCTCATCTCTGTGCCATGCTCCTCGCCCCTGAGGGTGACCCCGACGCCCTTGACATTCCGACTCCTCGCACTTACGCTGAGGCAGTGTCAGGGCCTTGGGCCTCTCAGTGGAGAGCCGCCATGGACGCAGAGATGGCCTCCTACAGATCCACAGGCACCTACGTCGATGAGGTTCCCCCCCTTGGGGCGAACGTAGTCGACGGCATGTGGATCTACAGGGTGAAGCGGCCACCGGGTTCTCCCCCGGTCTTCAAGGCGCGCTACGTGGCTAGAGGTTTCAGTCAGCGCGAGGGAGTTGACTTCTTTCAGACCTTCGCGCCCACCCCGAAGATGACCACTCTTCGGGTGTTACTACACGTAGCAGCGCAGAGAGACTACGAGTTACACTCTCTCGACTTCTCTACTGCTTTCCTTCAGGGCAGTCTTCACGAGGAGGTCTGGCTGCGTCGTCCCTCTGCCTTCACTGGCTCTTTCCCTCCTGGGACCCAATGGAGGCTGAGGCGACCGGTTTACGGTCTTCGTCAGGCTCCTCGTGAGTGGCACGACACCCTGCGTTCTACCCTGTCTGACCTTTGGTTCCAGCCGTCTTCTGCTGACCCGTCGCTGTTCGTTCGTCGTGGCCCCACACCTTTCTTTGTTCTGGTCTACGTTGACGACCTTGTTTTCGCCACTCCTGACAGGGTTGCTTTGGCACACGTGAAGTCCGAACTGCAGAAGAGACACACCTGCACTGACCTTGGTGAGCTGCGCCACTACCTTGGCCTGCAGATCACCAGGGACAGAGCTGCTCGCACCATTACACTTTCACAGTCACACATGGTGCAGCAGGTCGTTCAGCGGTTCGGGCTTCAGCACTCCACAGTACAGCGCACACCTCTTGCTGTTGACCACAGACTCACTGGACCCTTTCCTGACGAGCCGTTCGAGCCTAGTGGTCCCTACGCAGAGCTTGTGGGTTGCCTCATGTACCTGATGACTTGTACTCGCCCGGACCTCGCCTTCCCTCTCAGCGTCCTTGCGCGCTTTGTTGCGCCAGGGAGACACCGTCCTGTTCACTGGACAGCAGCTGTGAGGGTGGCGAAGTACCTAGCGACGACATCAGGCGTGGGGCTAGTTCTTGGAGGGCAGCAGGCTGTTGTACTTACTGGTCACTGTGACTCCTCTTACGCTGACGACGCTGAGACTCACAGGTCTACTCAGGGGTACTGTTTCAGCCTGGGTTCTGGAGCTGTTTCCTGGCGGTCCACGCGCTCCTCTTCGGTCTCGACCTCTACAGCTGAGGCTGAGATCTACGCTGGTGCCATGGCGGCACAGGAGCTGCGTTGGTTGACCTTCTTGCTCACCGACCTTGGTGAGCGGCCGAGCTCTGCACCGACCTTGTTCACTGACAACAAGGCGTCTATTCTCCTTTGTCGAGAGCCACGACTGGAGAGCAGAGTGAAGCACATTCACGTCAGGTACTTTCTTCTGCGAGAGTTGCAGAGGCGTGGACAGGCTCGCTTTGAGTTTGTGGAGTCAGAGGCCAACACTGCAGACATCTTCACCAAGGCGCTTCCGCCTTGTGACCACCAGAGGTGCTGTGTGCAGTTAGGCCTTGTTGACACTGGTTCTCGTGTTGCTTAGACTTGAGTGTACTGTTTACTTTGCTTTCTATGTATCTTTGTTACTTCTTGGACTGGCCTTGTGGCCACTGTTGTTTGTGCTCAGACTGTGTGGTGACGTTGTGATCCACCCTGAGCTTCGTTTCTTGGACTGGTCTTGTGACCGTACTCGTTTGGTTCTGCTAGACACCCCTCACTTAGGCTATGGGGGTGTGTCAAATGTTGTAGCCTATAGTGAGGTTTGTCTTAGGGGGTACAAAACTTAGGGTTAGCTATATGTACCCCAACCAACATCAATGCATCATCCATTCTTCATTCTGACACTATTGTGTATCCTGGTTTGTACACATATAGAACAAGAACGATGTACTACCCCATATGAAATGAAGCAAGCAAGCTGCCATTGAAGGTTGGCCTAAGCAAACTGTCAAAATCAAAATTAACAGCCGAGCTTGTACTTCCTAGTGTTGGGGTTGTATGGCACACGAAGGAAAAGGAAAATTCCTCATGAGGATTTTGTAATCCCAAAACTAAATCCCAAATAGGGATACTGCCAAACACACTGCCAAACGTAAGGCCAGAATTCCACAATTACGGTATGGGATCTGCAAAACCCAAGGATTGCAAATCACAACTACAAGCAATCAGGCAGTAAGCAGTATTGCTCGAAAACCATTTTATAATACTGAATAGTAGTGTGTTGTGTATGCGTTCCACCACACACCACCACTGCTGTTGCTGGTGCACTGTGTCCTCCCTGCAAGCATCCCTGCTGCAACCACCGCAGCCAGCTGCTGCTGTTAATGCCTCAGCTTTCCCACCATCCTCGGTCCACCGCAACAACCCTTTTACTGCTATTGATGCTGATGCTGCTGCTGCTGTTGCTGGTGATACTGTGTCCTCCCTGCAAGCATCCCCGCTGCAACAACAGCAGATAGCTGCTGCTGTTGATGCCTCTGCTGACGCACCTTCTTCTGCTTCCGCTGCTGCTGCCCTCCCACTGCCCCTGGCCCCCCTACTGCACCTGCAGCAACTGACTCTTGCTGTGCTGCAGCAGCAGCTGTAGCATCCCTAGGAGAGAGCATAACCAACGATGTCCCGACGGCAAGAGGGCTTGAGCCTGGTTGAGCCCAAGCAAGTGACCCACCGCCTCCTGCTGTGCTTCCCCCCTGCCGCTGCCGCTGCTGCTGCTGCTGCTGGTGCTGCTGCTGCGATGCACGTTGATCACTCTCCAGCTGCTGCGGTTGCTGCATCACGGTAAAAGCCAAGGGGTAAGGGTGTCCTGAGGGTGCGGACGACACAGCAGCACCAGCGGTGGCAGGAGGGTGCATTCCCACATACACGTACGGAGAGCCATGCCCAGCATGAGTAGCTGCATGACCTGGGTGCTGTGGGTGGTTTGAATGGCTGGGATGCATGCTTGGGTGAACGTTCATATGCATGTTGGTATGTTGCGGCATGTTGGCATGCTGCTGCGACATGTGATGTCCTACCCCGCCCGGCATAGAATAATGTGGCGCCATGCCATGCGGCATGGAGGGCGGTGGATACCCATGCATGCCTGCATGCATGCCCGCTGGGATCGGGTAGAGGTAGTGAGGGGGAGGTGGCATGGCGTGGTGTTGGGAGTGGGTGGCAGAGGGGTGTGGCATGGCGTGCATGCTCTGAGGATGGCTTGGTGGGGGGGGTGGCACGGCATGGTGCTGCGCTTGGGTGGACGTGGTGGAAGCGGGGTGTGGCATGGCATGGTAGTGGGTTTGGTTCGGGGGGGCAGGATGGGGCTGATGCACAGGGTGTGACTGCAAGGGGAGGCTACCATGACCTGCCACAGCTGCAACCGCAGCAGCAGCAGCAGCAGCAGCAGCAGGTGGTGGTATGGGGGAATCTGCTGGGGTGTATGGAAGGCCGTGTGAAGTGGTTTGCATGGCAACCGCACCCATGCCCACACCTGTGCATGCACTCATGCCAGTTTGCCTTGCAGTCCGGTCCTGCTGCGTCTGCTGCTGCCTGTGCTGCTGCTGCTGCTGTTGCCGTGACAAATAGCTGGAACTGCGAGAGATGGGGGCAGACGGTGGAGGGGACGACCCAAAACAAGCACCATCACCAGCAGGAGTTGCAGCAGCAGTAGCAGCGGCAGTAGTGGTAGCAGCGAACGCTAGAGAGCCGTTCTGCTTGCCTCTTCCTCCATCTACTGCACCACCATCGCCATCGCCATCATCATCACCGTCACCATTGCCATCGCCATCACCATCATCATCACCATCACCATCACCTGCACTCTCATCCACCTCCTCTGTCTCCCCACACTCCTCTTCCTCCTCCATCTCCCCGCACACGTCTACAATGACCTCCCTCGTCCTCCGCCTCTTCCTACTGCCCCTCTCCTGCCCCGACAAGTCACAGAGCCCACCTGGTGCAACCTCAGGTGTTTCCTCAGGTGTATTCTCAGGTGGCTTCTCAGGTGTTTCATGAGCAATCGCAGGAGACGGAGGGGTGGAGAGAGCAGGGCAAGCGGATGCGGATGGGGATGGCAGGGCGAGGAGGCGGGTGGAGGAGAGAGGGGAGCAGAGCCGGCGGTCAGGGGCTTTGGGCTGCTTAGATGCCGACACTGGTGGAAACGGCTGATCGGGGGCTTGTGACAAGGAGAAGCCACATTCGCCAGCGGCAGCAAGCGTGGTGGTGGGGGCTGCAGCTGGGGTGGCTGTGAGAGTGGGTTGGGTGGGTTGGGGTGAAGTGGACATGCGAGAGGGTGATCCTGGTGGGACTTCCCCAGCAACACCCGCTGCAGCAGTGGTAGTGGCGCCAGCAGAGAGAGTAGTGGTCGCAGCTGCAGTGGAACCAGCAGCACCACCAGCAGCAACAGCAGCAGCAGCAGCAGCAGAAGCGGCAGCAGCAGAACCTGCAGAAGCTGCAGAAGCGGAGATAGCGGCAGCGGCAAAGCCAGAGGTATGAAGAGGTGCTGCTGCAGGGACTGGTGGGAAGAATTGAGAGGGCGGGTAAGCAACATAGCAACCATATGCAGCAGCAGCAGCATTGCCAGCTGCAACAGCAGAAGCCCTGTCAGCTGCTGCAGCAGCAGCTGATGATGCATCCAACGGTTTCTCTAAACTCGAGCTGACCCCAAGAGAGATCTCCCCACTGTGCCCTGCCAAACCACCACCCGCAGCACCAGCAGCACCAGCAGCAGCAGCAGCGGGCACTACCAGCTGCAGCACCAGCAGCACTGGCACCAGCAGCAGCCTCCGCAGAAGCAGGCACTGAACCCCCGTCAGCTCCCCGGCCTGTCACCCCTCCTTCCCCTCCCTCCCCTCCTTGCGCCGCTCCTCCCCCCACTCCTCCCGCATTTAAGGCGCCAGCGGGGTCAGCAGACGTGACGGCGCCACCAGCTGTAGACGACCTACTGGCCACCACCATGCCACTCGCCTTGGCCTGCTCCTCTATGATTTTCTGGAGGTATTTACCCTGCGCCTCGATCCTCAGCTGCAGCTGGCGCTGCACCTCCAGCTGCTCGTGCAGGCGCCTCTGCACCTCCATCTGCATGCGCAGCGCCTCTGTGATCGGGATGTTGCGAGCGCTGCGAGGGAAGATGGAGGCGAGTAAGCAGATAAGGAATGGGTCAGAAAACGCTGCTGCACCTCCAGATGCATGGTGAGGCGAACTAAAAGGAACGCGGCGCCTACTGCACTGAATTAAGCAAGCAGTGAGAGGGTAGGGAGAGAGGGAGCAGGTACATCAGACGCACAGCAGACATACAGGCAGCGACAAGGGAGGCAAAGGTAAAGCAAAGATCAGACATGACCCGTGATAAAGTGGGGCCGAGGGGGGGGGGGGGGGAAGGGGGGGGGGGATGGAGGACATACAGAGCAGGGTCGAGCAACGAAGGCTCGGCGTCTGTAGCGTCAGGCTGGAGGTTCGGAGAGGCAGCGGCACCAACAGCCTTAGCTGCAGCGGCAGTGGCAGTGGCAGTGGCAGCAACACCAGGGGCACCAAGAGTGGCGCCACTAGCAGCAGCAGCGGCAGTGGCAGTGGCAGCGGCAGCGGCAGCGGCAGCAGCAGAAGGGAAGGGCGGCGGAGCTAGTGTGACAGGCGTAGGTGCAAACACCCCAGAAGCAACACGTTTCGGTGGCTTCTCTGCCCTCTCCGGCCTTGGCTCTGGGAGACACACAGCGGGAGAGATGGTGCAGAAAGGGACAGGTGCTAAAAATCCTGGTAGGTAGTGACAGGCATGTGGAACGTACAGACAACAGCGCATCAGCAGCAACTGCAGCAGTGACGGCGGCGGAAAGGGCGGGATAGACAGAGAGGGCAGCAGCTGCTGCCGTACAGAGTAAGGCGCAGTCGATTTGAGTGAACGTAAAGAATAAACGCAATGTGGATGGATGAAGTTAGGCGATTTCAATTTGCAGGGGGAAGAACAAGACGGATACAGGCACAAGTCTCTCTGTAGATTCTGCTGCTCCCTCCCTGCAGTTGGACAAGACGTCTCACAACTACACTCCCTGCAGTGCAGGCTTCGCAGAACGTAGGCTCGGCAAAGAGCTGGCTCAGCAGACTGGTTCATGACTCTGTGCTCTGTGGCCAGCTCAGCTGTTGGTGTATTCTACAAACTTACCCTTTTCTCGGGGTGTAGAAGGCAAAGGATCTGGAAGGTACTTGGCGAGCCGATACTTCTGCAGAGAAGAAACGCACATGCAGGCCAGGAGAAGGAGGGGAGAGGAGGGGGGGAGGGGGGGAGAGCGGATGAAAGTGGGGGCGGGGGAGGGGAGAAGGGCGAGAGGGGCCGTGTGGGAGATGAGAGCGCGGTATGGGAAGAAGCCTACAGAACAACAGCAGAGCGAGGGCGATAGGGGCTTGGGGGTTGGGGGAGAGAGGGATGGCTAAGTGGTATGGCGGAAAGAGGGAGGCACAGACCCAGTGCAAGGCAGGCGGGTAGATGCGATGCGACAAGATGGCGTTGCTGCCCGCACAGCACAGCACGCACCTGCAGGTGGCTCTTCACGTGGTAGATGGTCAGGCCCTGCACGCCCATCACTCGCAGCACACCCTTGGGCGTCGCCTCTGCATGCAGCGGGGAACAAGCGAGAAATAACAGGAGGGAGGAGAGAGGGGGAGAGGACGGTGGGGGGGCCATGGATTAGTGAGGGGGAGAAGAGGGAGAGGTGAGCGGGGGGGCAGGGGCCAGTATTGGCAGTGAGAGAGGGAGGCGGGGGGCATGGCATGGCATGGCATGCCGGCGGGAATGAATGGCATCTCCTTTCCCTCCGCAACCACAAGGCCGCGCTGTACTGTCAGCCAGCCCCCAGTAGGTGCGCACGCATGTGCCTCGCTCATGCAGCTCTCGCATGCCCACTACTTCCCACACCACAGGCCACACACTACTTCCCACACCACAGGCCACACACTACTTCCCACACCACAGGCCACACACTACTTCCCACACCACAGGCCACACACTACTTCCCACAGGCCACACACTACTTCCCACAGGCCACACACTACTTCCCACAGGCCACACACTACATCCCACAGGCCACACACTACTTCCCACAGGCCACACACTACTTCCCACAGGCCACACACTACTTCCCACAGGCCACACACTACTTCCCACAGGCCACACACTACTTCCCACAGGCCACACACTACTTCCCACAGGCGACACACTACTTCCCACAGGCCACACACTACTTCCCACAGGCGACACACTACTTCCCACAGGCCACACACTACTTCCCACAGGCGACACACTACTTCCCACAGGCCACACACTACTTCCCACAGGCCACACACTACTTCCCACAGGCGACACACTACTTCCCACAGGCCACACACTACTTCCCAAAGGCGACACACTACTTCCCACATGCCACACACTACTTCCCACAGGCGACACACTACTTCCCACAGGCCACACACTACTTCCCAAAGGCCACACACTACTTCCCACAGGCGACACACTACTTCCCACAGGCCACACACTACTTCCCACAGGCCACACACTACTTCCCACAGGCCACACACTACTTCCCACAGGCCACACACTGCTTCCCACAGGCGACACACTACTTCCCACAGGCCACACACTACTTCCCACAGGCCACACACTACTTCCCACAGGCCACACACTACTTCCCACAGGCCACACACTACTTCCCACAGGCCACACACTACTTCCCACAGGCCACACACTACTTCCCACAGGCGACACACTACTTCCCACAGGCCACACACTACTTCCCACAGGCGACACACTACTTCCCACAGGCCACACACTACTTCCCACAGGCCACACACTACTTCCCACAGGCGACACACTACTTCCCACAGGCCACACACTACTTCCCACAGGCGACACACTACTTCCCACAGGCCACACACTACTTCCCACAGGCCACACACTACTTCCCACAGGCGACACACTACTTCCCACAGGCCACACACTACTTCCCACAGGCGACACACTACTTCCCACAGGCCACACACTACTTCCCAAAGGCCACACACTACTTCCCACAGGCCACACACTACTTCCCACAGGCCACACACTACTTCCCACAGGCGACACACTACTTCCCACAGGCCACACACTACTTCCCACAGGCGACACACTACTTCCCACAGGCCACACACTACTTCTCACAGGCGACACACTACTTCCCACAGGCCACACACTACTTCCCACAGGCCACACACTACTTCCCACAGGCCACACACTACTTCCCACAGGCGACACACTACTTCCCACAGGCGACACACTACTTCCCACAGGCCACACACTACTTCCCACAGGCGACACACTACTTCCCACAGGCCACACACTACTTCTCACAGGCCACACACTACTTCCCACAGGCGACACACTACTTCCCACAGGCCACACACTACTTCTCACAGGCGACACACTACTTCCCACAGGCGACACACTACTTCCCACAGGCCACACACTACTTCCCACAGGCGACACACTACTTCCCACAGGCCACACACTACTTCCCACAGGCCACACACTACTTCCCACAGGTGACACAGTACTTCCCACAGGCGACACACTACTGTCAGCCCCCCCCCCCAAATTTGAGACGGCTTCCACAAATGATATTGTTCATGCAGCTCCAGCGTCCACCGCAGCCTGTGCTTGCCTCAACTCCAACCAGCGGGATAACACATACATAACACACCACCCTCTTCCCAACAGTCACAAGGGAAGGCAAGCAGACTTACTGTCAGCCCCCCCCAGGTTGGCGACGGCCTCCACGAATTTCTCATGCAGCTCCGGCGTCCACCGCAGCCGCTGCTTGCCGGAACTCCCGTCACTGCTGAACCCCCCTGCCCCGCCTCCGCCCCCCATGCTGAACCCCCCTCCCCCGCCCACGCTGCTCGTCGCCCCCCCTTCCCCTCCGCGCCCTCCCAGAGATGCTGTGGGCGCCGCCCCCCCGCCAGACGCAGCTGCTGCAGCCGCTGCAGCAGCAGTGGCGGCGGCAGCTGACGCGGCAGCAGATGCAGCGGCGGCTGCAGCGTCCGTCCCTGGGCCAAGCAGATTCATCCCCGCTATAGAGTCAATCCGGCACATGCTTACCCCATCCATTCCACCACTGCCACCCCCAACCCCACCCTGGCCCTGCATCCCAGCAGCGACAGCAGTGGCATCAGCGGCGGCTACGGCAGCAATGGCACCGTTACCATTGACTGCTGCTCCTTGCGACGAAGGCCCCGTCCCGTCTGCTCCTCCGCCTCCGCGCCCCCCTCCCATTTCCCCTCCTCCTCCTCCTCCCCCTCCCCCTTCCGCACGCCCTCCGCCCCCCCCACCTGCACCACCGCTGCTCCCAGCAGTGGAAGCGGAGGAGGCGGGCGCTGCCACGCGGAGGGCGCAAGGCATGCCCCCCAGCGACAGGGGGAGCGGCGGCAGGGGCAGAGGGTCCCTTCCCCCCGGGTGGATCTGCGCGTACATCCCCGGCACCGCAACCAGGGAGAAGGGGAGGTCGGGGGAGGCGTAGGGGTTGTGGAAGGGCGGGTATGGGGGCCTGGAGAGCGGCGACGCAGGGAGGTGAGTTGGGTGTGGGAAGGTGGGGTGGGGTGTGCTTGCGTGTTTTGCCTGGTGCGGCTGGTACTGCTGCTGCTGCTGCGGCTGCTGCTGGTGGTGATGGTAGTGCTGCTGCTGCTGCTGTTGCTGCTGCTGCTGATGCTGCTGCTGCTGCTGCTGCTGCTGCTGCTGCTGCTGCTGCTGCTGCTGCTGCTGCTGCTGCTGCTGCTGCTGCTGCTGCTGCTGCTGCTGCTGCTGCTGCTGCTGCTGCCGCCGCTGTTGGCTATCTTGGGTTGCAGAACGGCTTTCCCGAAGGGTTGGGTGTTTCGCGAACATGTCGTGTCGTTCCTGCTGCTGCTGCTGACTATGATGATGATGATGATGCTGTTGCTGCTGCTGCTGATGCTGCTGGTGCTGCTGATTTTCTTCCTGCTGTTTCTGGTTCTGCTGGCTTTGATGTGGTTGCTGGTTCTCCTGCTGTTGCAGCTGCGGCTCTTGCTGGTGTTGCTGCTGCGGTTGCAGGCAGCTGAGTTCCCATGGCAGGGAGGACGACGAGCCCTGCTGCCCTCTTGCTTGTGCTGACTCCAGCTTCGGTGGTACCACCACCTGTAAAGGTATCAAAGAGAATGAGGATTCAGACTCAGGGGTCGATTTGCAGCCGTTCCACCTTTGCGTTGGCTTTAGCTTCGACCGGAGAACCGCCTGTAGAGACAGCAAGAACAATGGAGGGTGCCAGGTAAGAGGGGAGGAGCTGCAGCAAGGATGCAGCATGATTAGGAACAATCGACGCTTCAACGGGCATGGGCAGACAGCAGCACCACAAGGCAAGTCTGAAAGTGAACGTCGGCGGGGAGAGAGAGCAGGATGTTGCAACCAGTGAGCGGAGCAAGCAGGCGCGGAACTCGAATGGCGTGAAGCACAAAAAGCCTCCGACCACCCACCTCGTCGTCGACCTTCAGCAGCTCCGCCCAGTCAGCTCCAATGGCTTCGTCCGGAGTGTATTCAGGCCAGGTGGGCCAATCACAACCCGTTCCAGCCCCTGCTGTCGGCCCGTACACGTCCCCTATATCCTTTTCTCTCCCCGCGCTCGCGCGTCGCCCTCTCGCCAACCCCCTCTCCTCCGATCTCTCCTCCGATCGCCCCTCCGATCTGCCTTCCAGCCTTCCCTCGAACCTCCCCTCCACGTTCGCAATTTTATCCGATTCGTCGGTCCAAATGTTCTCCAGACCCCCCACCTCCATCCGACCCTCGTTATTGTCACGATCCACCTCGTCCCCGTTACCAGCCTCCCCAATGGTCATGACAGCAGCCGATTTCCCGCTCTCGCCAACCTCGCACTCCTTGGCGAATCTCGACGCACCAGTCGCAGCATTGTTACCATCTAGAGCGTTACTAGCATCCAGATTGTTACCATCGATGTTGTCCAGCGCGCCGTCGCTACCGAACATGGACGAAAAAGCGACTGGCGGAGAATTAACGTAGAACCCTTCAGCGTACACCTGCCCGCTCGCGAAAGGCAGGGGCATGGGAGACAAGTGCGAGTTGCGACGGTCCGACATGATTGTCGGAGAAACCTCCTCTGATGCCAACGGGTCGAACTTGGGCTGATGCTGCTGCTGCTGGCGCTGGTGCTGATGCTGCTGTTGTTGATGCTGTTGCTGCGGCTGAACGGGGAACGCCGGGGGTGGGAGGTACAGGGCGTCTTGCATTCGCTGATGCTTCGGCTGAGCCTCCCGGTGCTGCTGGTTTCGCGGAGTCCCACTTGCCGGCTTGGAGTCCATGAAAATGCGGCTGCCTTTAGTTGGCTTCTCAGACGACTGCACTTATCAGGCTTTCAGCACTTGACGGGCTCGGTACACTGACTAAGCAGTCAGAGCTGATCAAACTGCTTGCCGTCGTGGCACCCAACGGTGCCGTGAAGTTGCGATAAACGATTCTCATGCAGCCCTACGAGGCAACATCACTGTTGCTCTTACTGCAGGCCGGGATGACGGATTAAGAACCTTAGGTTCAGTCTATACTTTAATCATGAAGCGCTTAGGAGGCAATTTGGCCGATCAATGTAGCCGTCACAGACCGAAACGACGATTACGAGAGGCAAGGACCGTCCATTGCTATTGTCGTGTGGCTACTACGAGGAGACGAAACCGGAAGTCATTAACAAAAACCCTGATGGATCAAGTTTAAGGAAAGGGACAAAAGCGACTCCGTAGTCGACTCAGGTCACAGGCCGTGCCAGGGGAAGCGGAGCTGCGCGGGAGCTTGATCAAAGGGTCGGACGACAGAGAGGGACCTTGTGCGCCGCTTCAACCTATAGCAGCGATAATTTCCAAGACATGGCGTCGAAGCGCTTGGAATAGGCGAGACGCGCGGAATTGGCCTCTGAGAGTTCAGAAACTAGATCGAAAAGACCCTCCCTCTCAGCTCCAAAGACCGGTCGTCTTCCCGCGTGCTCTTTTTGTCATCCTTATTTCATCCTCCCTTTTACGGGAAAACCACGGCGTGACAAGTGTCACGACGATTGACGAAAAGTCTGCCAGAGAGGCAGCTTACTGGTGATTGCTTTCTGCTACTAGTGGAGGGAAGGCGAGGAAAGAAGAGGCGAGTAGTGAGCAACAGTGCCACGACAATCAGCAGCAACCCCAAGCGAGCAACCACGGCTGCCTTTCTGCTGCTGGCAACGATGGGTGGCGTCATCGGGTTCTGGAAGATGCGAATATTGTTCCCTCAAGCCCTGCGGAGCCCCCCAACAGCACCTTTGCGACTGGTGACAGAAGATTCTTTCGTCAGATGAAATTAGCCGCACGATGAGGAGAATCGAACGGTACTGATGAAAAACCTGTTACAAGCTTTGTTCCGCTACAAAACCCTCGAGTGTCTCTGGGCCTGATCGGGGTTAGGTGTGCACTTTTTCAAACCAAACCATATCCGATATGCACTTCCCACACCTAGTCCAGACAAGGAATCACCGCACGCAACCCCACCCCACCACAGCTCTTATGAGTTGTAAGAGAGTGCGCGGAATAACGAATAATGAAGCTGTGACTCAGTGATCCGACAATACAATGAAGGCACGCAATTATATAGTAACTACCCTAGCTGGGAGGGAACCTCGGGAAAAAGAGGTTGGGTGCAGGTTTGGCGATCGGAAAGCCGAAGGCGACGCGGGACAGCCTCGGCATCGGAAGTGTAGGCCGAACGTGCGAAGTCCAAAATGTCAAAGTTGTACGTGTAGCAGTCAATCCCGCTAAGGAATAGGAAAAATTCCTTACACTACCCTGTCAAACTATACCGTCATACCCCGGATATAAGCGCCACCCGCAGATAAGTGCCTGACGCTTTTAATTGGCGTGTGGCGCTTATATCCGGTGCCAGATTATAAGCGCACCCCCTGAAAAAAACTTGTTTTATTATAAGCGCACGTAAACTTTAAATTTCAAAATGTGTGCAAAACACTGTAACGATTTTGACTTTAGCAGGGGGATGTGTTGCAGTTTCGCTTCCCTTCACATTCGGAGCCTGCACTGGATGCGGATCCAGTCAGCAGGAGCTGTCAGGACCTGAATGTGAGTCAGATTGAGTGTATCTCCCAGCGCGCGCGAGAAAAAGCACAGACGACTCCATGAACTTCGACTCGATTGAAAAAGCAAGCACGAGATCTACAGTTGGGTGTTAAAAACTATAAAAAAATATTTATGTCATTTTATAAACGCCGGCGCTTATAAATTTACTCGATTATAAGCCCACCCCCCTAAAAAAAAACTGTTTTATTAGTGCCCCCCATGGGGGTATATCCGGGGTATGACGGTATTGGTGATTGTTGTTTGTGGGTTGTATTGGGGTAGCTTACATGAGGTACAACACCTTCTAGGGTTCCTACCGTCATGCCCCGGATATACCCCCATATGGGGGCATAAAAAAACATGGAAAATGGTTTGTGGGCTTATAATGTGGCATTTTTTATAACCCCATGGGGGAAATATATGACGCTTAGTGAATTATGATTTAAAAACATAGAATTGTAGATCTCAGCCTTGCGGTTTCAATCGAGACTACCACAAGAATGTTTGCTTCGAATTTTACCGAGAATGTGCCAACCTGGCATCAATCCCTGCTATCACGTGCTGAAATGTTGCTAACACGTGCGCGCCTGTGGCAATTTCGCCATGTGGGCTAGGGAAGAGTTCGCCAGGCACGTTAGCGACGATTGCTCCTGACGCGTTAGTGGCGAATTCACTAGAAAAATACAGGTTGGAGTAAAAATTCATTGGGTGCGCTTATACGAAGATGATCCAAATTTAGGGTGGGGTTATAATCGGCACCCGGCTATAAGCCCACTGGTACGATTATAACCGCATGGGTGTAACATAGGCCTGGGGGTATATCCGGGGTATGACGGTATTTGTATCCCAACCCTTCCTAGTTCATTCATTCCTGTCTCTCATTTCGACATGGTTTCAGAGTAGTAGGTCCGCAGGACTGGTTTTTTTTTTTCGAGCCCACCACTTGCTACCCCACGCCCTGCCCTGTGCCACGTGCGCGCCGTTCTTTGCACCCTGCGCGCCTCCTCTTTGCTGCCCGCGCGCTACCGCTGCAGCCCTGCGCATCCCCCCCTTGCGGCCCGCGCGCCACCCCTGCCGGCAAGCGCGCCACCCCTGCACGCCCTGCCCTGCCTGTGCACTGTCGCTACTGCGTGCTCGCATCCCTACCCTGCCCCGCTCAAACGGCCATGGCCACTCTCAGCGTTCTTTCGTTTGACCCTGAGGGCCGCCCCATAGAGTTCGCAGCGTGGCTCGAAGATCTGCAGCTGTACTTACTGACGGATGCTAAGGACGGCGTATCCCTATATGACATTGCGTCTGGCGCCTCGGTCGCTCCTCCTGACACAGCTGACAGTCTAGCTCACTCACCGTGGCTTACCCGTGACGCTGCTGCTCACCTCGCCATCCGAAACCACCTGCCGTTAGCTGAACGTGCTCACTTTGGCCAGCATAAAACCGCTAAGGCACTGTACACTGCTGTAGTCACTCGCTACTCTTCCCTTGCCACTGCTGCTCTCAGCCGCCTTATCCTGCCCTACCTGTTTCCTAAGCTGTCCTCCTTTGCCACGGCTGAGGACCTCAACTCCCACCTCCGCGCTAGTGACGCTCGCTACCGCGCTGCCCTCCCGGCCGAGTTCTTAGGCAAGAACCCCCCGTTGTACATCACCCTCTACTACATCGTCACTCGACTCCCTGACTCTCTTCGCGTAGTCAGGGACCACTTTCTCGCCCTTAGCCCCACAGACCTCACTATCGACGACCTCGAGGAGCATCTCCTTGTAGCCGAGGATAGCATTGTAACTGTGGGTGCTGCTTGTGGCACTCCTCGCACTCCCCTCTTTGAGGGGTGTGCCCCCTCCCCCCTTGCCCCCTCCCACGCTTCTGCTGCTGCTGATGACTTCCTTGGTGCTGAGGAGGTCGGTGCTGCTTCTGCTCCTAGTGGGAAGCGCCGCAGCGGCAAGGGCAAGGGTTGCAAGGGTGGGGGTGGTGGCAGCGGGGGGGGTGGTGGTGGAGGTGGCGGAGGTGGCGGTGGGAGTGGTGGCGGGAGTGGAGGTGTCGGCGGCAGTGGCGGCAGCGGTGGGAGTGGTGGTGTTGGAGGTGGCGGCAGTGGGAGCGGTGGCGGCGGAGGGGGCAGCGGTGGTAGCGGCGGCAGTGGGAGCGGTGGTGGCAGCAGTGGTGGCGGTCGGGGTGGAGCGGTCCAGAGGGGAGGCTCTGGTGGTGGACAGAGGTAGCAACAGCAGTGCCCACGTGAGACCCTTACGCCCCAGCAGCTTTGTGAGTGGTACGCTCAGCGTGGGGCGTCTGGGGGTAGTGTTCGCTGCCAGTATGCCATTCGCACAGGTGACCGCGCTGGTCAGATCTGCGGGAAGTTCCACACTCAGTACCGCTGCTTCTTCCGCCTTGACGAAAAGTGGCGCGCAGAGTTTGGTGACGGCGCTGAGATGCCCCGCTGGGCAGAGCTGCGTAAGTCTGGTGTTGACATCTTTGCTCTTGACTATGATGCTATCCTTGCTGGCATGTATGCTTTGACTGTTAGTGCTGAGGGTGACTATTACTTATGTGTTCCGCCGGACCCAGGTATAGGAGCTGCTGCCCTAGGTGCTTGTGAGTGTGCTCTCTCTACTACTGCGCCTGCTGAGGCCTTGCACACCTTCACACTTGACTCAGGTGCTTCCCGCTGCTTCTTTCGCGACAGCACCACAGTCACACCCCTCCCCAGACCCGTTGCGGTTTCCTTGGCTGACCCCTTCGGGGGCCCTTCACGTTCCTCCACTAAGCTCCCGTGTCTGGCGGTTCCGTCCGGCTCACGGTCAAGTCTCCACCTCCCCTCGTTCTCGACGAACTTGGTGAGTAACGCAGTCCTTCAGGACGCCGGGGTGGATACCTTTAGCCCGAGACTGCAGGGTGTGGCGATCTGCACGTGCTCCTGGACTGGCCGTCACTTGGCCACGTTCACCCGTCGGCCTGGGTCGAGCCTGTACACACTGACCACTACACCGCCTCTGGTCACTGCGTCT